AAATTTGATTTTACCAGCTTTGATTTGGAGATTTAAAGAAGACTTTTATTAGCTTTGATTTGGAGGTTTAAAGGTTATTTTACCAGCTTTAATTTGGAGGTTTAAAAATGACTTTTAGTAGCTTTGATTTGCATGTTTAAAAGTGATTCTTCTTAGCTTTGATTGGCAGGTTTAAATTGGACTTTTATTAGCTTTGATTCTCATCATCATTGCTTTGATTTGGAGGTTTAAATTAGATCTTACCAGCTTCGATTTGGAGGTTTAAAAATTACTTTTATTAGCTTTGATTTGGAAGTTTAAAGGTGATTTTACCAGCTTTGATTTGGAAGTTTAAAGTTGATTTTACTAGCTTTGGTTTGGAGGTGTAAAAATGACTTTTATTGGCTTTGATTTGCAGGTTTAGAGGTGATTTGACCATCTTTGATTTGGAGGTTTAAAAAAGACTTTTACTAGCTTTGATTTGCAGGTTTAAAGGTGATTTTACCAGCTTTGATTCTTATTTTCTGATCATTTAACAGAGAGAAAGTCTTTATACTGTAGCCATGAGCAGCATTGAAGTTTTAATAGAAATCATCTTAAATATTAAGCATAAATGTTGGTAAAAAAGGCAATAAAATTCTAAGAAACAGAAATAAGTGTGAACATACACTTTTGTCTGAATATGAACATTTCAGTGTGTCCAGCAGTGAGAGTTTGGTGTTTTTCCCCACTTTGACTCAATTCAACTGAATCCTTTTGATGTTTTTGGCACAAAAACTCGTCTGAAGTAACCAAATCCTGAGAATAGAGCAGGTAATGAGAGCTCTGATGGCTGCAGCAGACCCTGAGAGGGACAGAGCCTCCTCTGGTCGGGTTGTTTTAGGAGTGGAGACCTCTTTAAAGCACGATTAGCCTCTGGCCTGAAGGGTCTCAGAGCAGAATCTGCATCGGCCCTAAAATTAGAAAAGATTAAATATACTGTACACTAAGAGGATCCAATGATCGTTTTTATGGCATTTGGATTCCATTGATGAAATGTTTTGAAAAGATCAAGACACTTCCTGAGAATCCTTAAGAGTAAACCATCGGAAATCTGATGGCCAGGACCTACAGAAGTTAAAGGAATAAGAATATTCATTCCGCCTTTGTTATGTATGGTAAGAACATATGTGCATATACGCATAAACATGGTCAATGTTGTTTCACTATTCCTCGGTTGTATTTGTATTTGTCATGATAACTACTTTTTTTTTGTCTTTCCTTTTCTTTATGGTCTAAGATGTATATGTGTATATAAATGACTCACTATTGTTTTATCTATATTGATCTTGTGGGTAGACGCACTGTAGTTCTGAGGGTTTGGGGATGGGGGGTGCAATTTGACATGTTTAAAACACCAAAATCTATATCTTGAGCCAAGAATGTAACTCTGTTTTGTGTTTAATGAAAAGAGATTTA